CCCATATCTCGGCCAAATCTCATCCGATTTTCACGAAGTTTGGCTTTTTCTTCATGGCTTTCCCTCTAGAATTATCTGGCATTCAAATCTGAACGCCGATTTTTTAGTCGAAATTCATGTCCAAATCTTACCCCAAGGTTCATATATAGACATGGGTCAAAATTTACCACCCCCATAACTCGGCCAAATCTCACCCGATTTTCACGAAGTTTGGATTTTTCTTCATGGTTTTCCCTCTAGATTAATCTGGCATTCAAATCTGAACACCGATTTTTTGGTCGAAATTCATGTCCAAATCTTACCCCAAGGTTCATATATAGACATGGGTCAAAAACGACCACTCCCATAACTCGGCCAAATCTCACCCGATTTTCACGAAGTTTGGATTTTTCTTCATGGTTTTCCCTCTAGATTAATCTGGCATTCAAATCTGAACACCGATTTTTTGGTCGAAATTCATGTCCAAATCTTACCCCAAGGTTCATATATAGACATGGGTCTAAAACGACCACTCCCATAACTCGGCCAAATCTCACCCGATTTTCACGAAGTTTGGTTTTTTCTTCATGGTTTTCCCTCTAGATTAGTCTGGCATTCAAATCTGAACGCCGATTTTTTAGTCGAAATTCATGTCCAAATCTTACCCCAAGGTTCATATGTAGACATGGGTCTAAAACGACCACTCCCATAACTCGGCCAAATCTCACCCGATTTTCACGAGGTTTGGATTTTTCTTCATGGTTTTCCCTCTAGATTAATCTGGCATTCAAATCTGAACACCGATTTTTTAGTCGAAATTAATGTCCAAATCTTACCCCAGGATTCGTATATAGACATGGGTCAAAAACTACCACCCCCATATCTCGGCCAAATCTCATCCGATTTTCACGAAGTTTGGCTTTTTCTTCATGGCTTTCCCTCTAGAATTATCTGGCATTCAAATCTGAACGCCGATTTTTTAGTCGAAATTCATGTCCAAATCTTACCCCAAGGTTCATATATAGACATGGGTCAAAATTTACCACCCCCATAACTCGGCCAAATCACATCCGATTTTCACGAAGTTCGGATTTTTCTTCATGGTTTTCCCTCTTAATTAATCTGGCATTTAAATCTGAACATCGATTTTTTAGTCGAAATTCATGCAAAAATCTTACCCCAAGATTCGTATATAGACATGGGTCAAAAACGACCACTCCCATAACTCGGCCAAATCTCACCCGATTTTCACGAAGTTTGGATTTTTCTTCATGGTTTTCCCTCTAGATTAATCTGGCATTCAAATCTCGACACCAATTTTTTAGTCGAAATTCATGTCCAAATCTTACACCAAGATTCGTATATAGACATGGGTCAAAAACGACCACTCCCATAACTCGGCCAAATCTCACCCGATTTTCACGAAGTTTGGATTTTTCTTCATTGTTTTCCCTCTAGATTAATCTGGCATTCAAATATGAACACCGATTTTTTGGTCGAAATTCATGTCCAAATCTTACCCCAAGATTCGTATATAGACATGGGTCAAAAACGACCACTCCCATAACTCGGCCAAATCTCACCCGATTTTCACGAAGTTTGGATTTTTCTTCATGGTTTTCCCTCTAGATTAATCTGGCATTCAAATCTGAACACCGATTTTTAGGTCGAAATTCATGTCCAAATCTTACCCCAAGGTTGATATATAGACATGGGTCAAAAACGACCACTCCCATAACTCGGCTAAATCTCACCCGATTTTCACGAAGTTTGGATTTTTCTTCATGGTTTTCCCTCTAGATTAATCTGGCATTCAAATCTGAACACCGATTTATTGGTCGAAATTCATGTCCAAATCTTACCCCAAGGTTGATATATAGACATGGGTCAAAAACGACCACTCCCATAACTCGGCCAAATCTCATCCGATTTTCACGAAGTTTGGATTTTTCTTCATGGTTTTCCCTCTAGATTAATCTGGCATTCAAATCTGAACACCGATTTATTGGTCGAAATTCATGTCCAAATCTTACCCCAAGGTTCATATATAGACATGGGTCAAAAACGACCACTCCCATAACTCGGCCAAATCTCATCCGATTTTCACGAAGTTTGGATTTTTCTTCATGGTTTTCCCTCTAGATTAATCTGGCATTCAAATCTGAACAGCGATTTTTTAGTCGAAATTCATGTCCAAATCTTACCCCAAGATTCGTATATAGACATGGGTCAAAATTTACCACCCCCATAACTCGGTCAAATCTCATCCGATTTTCACGAAGTTTGGCTTTTTCTTCATGGTTTTCCCTCTAGATTAATCTGGCATTCAAATATGAACAGTGATTTTTTAGTCGAAATTCATGTCCAAATCTTACCCCAAGATTCGTATATAGACATGGGTCAAAATTTACCACTCCCTAAGTACACGCCCGTGGAAAATTGAAATCTACCCGTAGCCACTTGAACTCCACTTTTTAATAATATGTTTGGAGTGCATCGAATAAAGAACCAAATGTTGGAATCGGAGATTTCCTCCTCTTGTTAGTCTTGTGGTAAGCGTCCTGAGGCGAAATATAAAAATGAGTTTGAAACCGATAAAAAACCAAAAAGTTATGATGCTTTTTTATCGGCAGAGTGTAGATCTTTAAAAAAATTTGATTCACATCGTACAAAACTTAAGGCTTCCCCCAAATATTCTTTGAATCGCATTTCTATCGAGGAAGCTTGAATTCTGCGAAAAGCGTGAAACACGTCTTAAATGATCTTTGGAAATAAATTTGAACACGAAAGGTCACCCACCAACTCTTTGACGCGTATTTCCACCAAGGAGAGCATTTTCCAAAACGATCAAGACACCCTTCAAATGAATTTGAACAGATCTTTGCGGGTGGAATTTCCCGAAACCCCGTCTTAACGTGCACCTTTATCACCTTTAGCTAAAGTAGCTAAAGCTAGCTATTACGGCTGTTCACCAATCAATCAATCAGTCAGTCATTCGGTCAGGGCAAACTGTTTTATATATAGAGATTCTAGTATTTAACTGAATGAATTATTTAACAATGCGCTGGAGTTTTGCTGTTATTTAACATAACATTCCTGTTATATAACATAGATCGATATGTGAACGATTTTTCACTCTCAAGATTACGTCTTTTTAATTGTTGTAAAATCACTTTAAAAATGAAAAAATAAAAGCTTGTGTTGGATAATCAAATGTTTCAAATATCTTCTACCCCATATTTGTTGTCGGCAATACACACATACATATATGCTATGGAATTAATTTATTATTATATTACGTCTAGTTCTATTTTTATATGCGGCGTGCGTGTGGGCGGCGGGCGGGCGGTGCACATTGGGCAGTGGACATTTAATATTAGAGTTGAATGTGTAATACTTTGTTGTTATTATTGGTCAATTTTATTTTGCTTAGTTTATTTTGGGAGCCGTTCTATTGTTTATTTTAGATACACGCAAAGCTCCTTTGTAGTATTTGTAGATTCGTCAATTTATGATGGAATCAAACAGTGTGTCTGTGTGTTTGGGTGTCTGGGTGTACATGCATGCACATAGTGTATAATGTTTTTGTTTTTGTATATTGCGTTAGGTCGGGATAGTTTTAGTTACGCTTGAATAACGGCACGCTTATAAAGTGTCAGAAAAATGAATGAAAATTGCGGCTAAGAGGAACTTCCTTGCTTGTATTAGAATTAAATTGTTTGAGCAAGTAGAGGTAATCGAAAGGTGGTTAAAAAGTTACAATTTTAGTTATCTTCCGTCCCGCTAACAGTTAGGCACTGTAATGATTTAATCATTTACAAATTATTCAATTATGCTTCCGTAGTTTGAGAAATATTAATCACGAATCTATTAAAAAATCATTCTGTTCTTGCGCTTCGGCAAATTTCATAGTCAGCTGCAAAGAGTCGGATACATTTTGCTTACGCTCTGAGTATATTCGGGTTAATGGGGATGGGAATTGGAAATTTGGCAGAAACCGCCAAAGGAGAATTCTGCTGGTAGAGTATTTTTGAACAAGTAAATAAACAATTTACTCAACGCAAGCGGGAAGCGCGACAAGTCGTAGGGTGTTGCTTTGATTGCTTTGTTGTAATCAGAGTCATGCGGCTTCTCCACATGAGTATCCAAATGTGTGTGTGTGTGTGTGTGCGTGCGTGCATGTGTGTGTGCGTGTGTTTGTGGGTGTGTGCGTTCGTGCTTGCCTTACGCTTACGCTCGCTTGATGACTTTAAATGTCGCCAATGTTGTGGAGAACGATAAGCTTTCCCTCCCCCCCTATTGAGGCGTTGTCAGTCATGACATAATTTCACACCTGTGCGTTTATGCCGTGCAGTCAACGAATTGATGTACAGGATGTTATAATTCTGTCACGACATAGAAGGGGACGTCTCCGACCAAATAAAATATACAAATATATTTTTGATTATCAACAGCCGATTCGTTATAGCAATTTCTGTTTAGTTGTCTTGCCTGTTATATTTGATTTAGGGTCTTAGAAATAACATGTTGGAGGAATCACGTTGGCTTCTTTAAACGAAGCTCAATTACTTTACAAATGTTTTCTATATTCGATTTGAGAATTTCCATAAAAAATAGGTTTAAGTTCAACTAATATCAGTTTACGGCAGGTATCGGATGCATCGATCAACTACCCACATGTTTTTTAAAATCGTTTCTCAAATTGTGTTCTCTTAATGGTCAGGTCGTCGCATGTGTTGCTTTGGAGGCGCTCCTGCTGGTGGGCGTGGCGCTGATAATGTTACAGGTATGAGGGGTCATCTGCATGCTCTGGCTAGTTTGTGATTGAATAGTTAGTTCTGGTCAGTTGCAGTTTCGCTCTTGAGCATGGTTTGCATTTTAAGTGTGCACATATATGTAAATATGTGTATGTGCGTGTGTGTGGGAGTCTTGTGAGTGTAGGCATGGCTCGGGTTGATTTTGATTTAATGTTTTTCTTTTTATTTAAGATTGCTAATACATTTTCTTCTTTTCTTTTGCAGGAAAAAATCTTTACAACAATGAACATGTAGCAATAAAAATGGAGCCTATGAAGTCAAAGGCTCCGCAACTACACTTAGAGTATAGGTTTTATAAGCTATTAGGATCACATGGTATGTTAAATTGTCTTTATTATAACACAGAATATACAAATTTTTCCATACCCCTATAAAACACTAACAGCAATAAAAACAACTAACAAAAAGAAATAAGTCATGATACAAAAAAGAAAAAAAAAAAAAATGAATATATTATTTTTTTCCACGCCCGTTTGTCGTCCTTTTGACAAATTGCTAACCCAATCCTACTTACTCCCATTACCGCTCCAATAAAACTATGTTTTGCACCGTTACCACCTTCGTTAGTTTGTTAGTTTGATAAACAAACTCGTAAACTCAACTCTATATAACACTTTGAATTGAATTTTGAGTGCTATAAGAATACACATAAGAAGACATGAATAGATTTTCTCAAGCATATTTCGGAGGTCGGTGCGTCAATTAAATTACAACAAATATATAAAAAAGAAAAACAAAAATAAAACAAAACATCAAATTAATACTATTGTATATTTTGGAAACACCAAAGCTGTGCTACCATTATATTCTTCTGATTTTATACCCACCAACTTACTATATGCTGATTTCTCAACTGAACATTATTACAACAAATTTACGTTATTCTTTCGCCCGTTCTTTTTTTTGTTGTTCTTATATATAAATATAAAAATGCAAATTGCTCTGTTCCTTCATTAACCATCAATATCACCATACACCAATGAACTTCCGCTGTGAAATATGAAATTCGAAACCGATAAATGATATCGAAAATACTGAAAAACCAAACCTGTGTCAAAAAATAACCATCGTGCGACAACCAATCAACCCACCACCACCCACCAAAACAATCGGCTGATTTCTTTTGCATAACACATTGTGATGGCATGGCACATACCCTATAAATCGATGCGCTCGCTCATACAGCCGAAAACGCCCCAGAAGGCATACCACGCATTTATCACTTGGGCACTTGTGGTGGCCGTTATAATGCCATGGTTTTAGAGTTATTGGGATTATCATTAGAAGATCTCTTCAATATTTGCTCCCGTAAATTTTCACTTAAGACTGTATTGATGATAGCGAAACAACTTGTAAGTTTATTTAAAATGCAATGCGAACAAAAAATTACGTTTGTTTTTGGGCGAGTTAGCGCGGATTTCACATGGCGCAAATTGCTTGATTGCTTGATTATGTGGCACAGTATTGAATGTGTATAACAGTGTTCAGTGATCGCTGACTCCCTGAGGGACATGTCTGTGACACTGTCGTCTCGGCGCAATTGTGCTGCGAAGTTCTTACAGTTGTTAATCGGAAGCATGTGAAGTCCGTGTTCTATTTCGCTCAAACTATTCTACACCGTATTATTTCGATTTTAAACAACAAAGTGTCTCAACGGCTAAGCGTTTCATGTTAGCAACTTTTTTATTTTTCTATGAATTTATTGTAATAAAGAAACCTAAGAACACAACACAATGAACGTTAGTGTCAACATTTTATAGTTTCTGTAGTGGAACAAGTTTGCCAACGAACTAAATATATACATATATCTGTTGTAGTTAAATTAAGATTCTTTTTTTTTTTTTGTTAATTTTCCTTGGGTTGTAGCTCATTTGAAACTAAATTGAAAACAAATTAAACCACCAATTAAATTTAAAAGCATGTAAACTAAGCGTCGTTAATAGGCAAGAGTTCCTTTAATGTTTCTATGTAAATAATAAAGAACATCATTCTATTTGTATACCAAAAAGCCAATATACGAAAAAAAAAAATAAAACAATTTCGAAAGAATATTTAATAACAACAGTTTCTCGTTAGTTGCCTAAGTAAACGATTTTTACCTTCTCTCTTGATTTAAATTAATGACAAACTTTTTGTATGTGCTCTATGATTATACTTATTTTAACCAACTACTAACTCAAGCTCCAAGAAATATTTTGCTAAAGTGGTAAAACAGCAACAGCAATAACACAATGGCCTCTTAAAAGCCTACACTTCACTGTTATACTCGACTCTACACCTAAGTTAAGATTAAGTTTGGCCGAATACGCAGTTGAAGGAACTGTTATACTCTTGTTTGAAGCGTAGAGTTTCCCGCCCATGCAGCAGCAATTTAAAAGATTGTATATAATGGCAGGGTCGTTGTGTAGGCTTCCTCGTTATATGCTTCGAGAATCTCTATTTTTGTTGTTCTTGTTGTTTTTAGCACAGTTTTTCTGAAAATTTCAAGAGTGCTAAAGTTGAAAATAAAAAGGTGGTAATAAAACGTAAGACGCGCTTAACTAACCTGAAAGAGTCATATATCTCACTATCGCTCGCTCGCTCTCTCCCTTTTCTCTCTTTTTCTCACTTCGTCTTGCTCACGTAAAACTCGGTGCTCCCTTAAAAAAAATATATAAAACTGGAATAATACAAAAATACATATCTAAAATATTTTTTGTCTCTCTTACCTCACTCTCTTTATTCTCTTCTTTCTCTCTCTCTTTATCTTTCTCTCCTTATATTTGTCGATTTTTGCATAAAACAACAACAACAACAAACGTATCCCCAAAAACTACGTTACTTTCGTGCGCTGCCCAACACTACAAAAAAAAAAAAAACAATTAAAATGCATTTTATTCTACATACACATACTTTGAAAATTTCCGAAATTTGTTGGCCTGTAGCAGAGGGTGTACCAGAAGTATATTACTTCGGCCCATGCGGCAAGTACAATGCTCTTGTTATGGAATTGCTTGGTCCATCACTCGAAGATTTGTTCGATATTTGCGGCAGACGTTTCACTTTGAAGAGCGTACTACTGATAGCTATACAATTAGTAAGTACAACCAAAACCACCACAAAAACAAAAAATAAAACCCAAAAAAAAAAAAAAAAAACAGCAAATAAGCAATTATTTATTCGAGCACGCGCATTTCTCAGTACATTTCACATATTTGTTCACGTACACAACACTGGTAGCAGTTAAGCCAACAATTAACCAACACTGGCCAAAATTTCACACATACCCAAAAAAAAAAACCTGATCAAATTTTTGTTTGTAAGTGCGTGTGTGCGTGGCGTGCGTGTTTTTGTAGGGGCTTCTTGGGTGAATATATTTAGTTAATCTTTATTTATCACCGATCTTTTATTTTTACTATATAATTTTGCTAACTAACAACAACGACAACAACAAGAGGAGGGAGTATGCTGCTTAGTCATATTTTATATTGTAATCTACTTACGTTCCCACCTATTCCTTTCTTTCTTTCTTCATTTGTAGACGATACAACATCTGGTTAAGGTTTTATTTTTATAGTCCTAAGTTCTTAACGTTTTGGTTAAGCATAATCATATAACGCATTCTAATGCCATGCACATTTAAATGCCGCTTTCTTACCTAGCATATTCTTCAATATATCAAATTTAGTTGTTAACTGCCAACGTTCATTGTAAAAAAAATACGTACATAATATTAAAAATAATAATTTGCATGTACATTTATTATGTAGTTGACTTGGATATATTTTTAGTTTGTGTTTGAAGCGCGTCATATTAATTTCTTATATCAAAAAAATACAAAAAATGGTTCAAAACAATTTAAGATACCAAAATCGTTGACATTAAACCAAGAACAAAAACTTCAGCTAGTTGAGACACTACAAATCAAAAATTGAATTTTAATAATTTTATTCATTTACACAAATTTTCAGTCTGTCAATGAGCACGTTAATTATGAAGATGAGTTAATTATGAAAATGTAATTTAATTTGTTACGGTTTGTTGTAATCTTCTGCTCCTTGGTAGACTCAATGTTTAATCCTATTTGATCAGATCAAATACTTATCGAATTTTCTGTTTTGCTCTTCACAAACTTGAAAACACAGCTCCACCGGATCGAATATGTTCATAGTCGGCACTTAATTTATAGGGATGTAAAACCAGAGAACTTTCTCATTGGCAGAACATCAACAAAACGTGAAAAAATTATACACATAATTGGTAAGTGCTTATGAAAATGAATTAAATGTATTTTATTAATTTAACTAACCTATTGACAATTTCAACAGATTTCGGGTTGGCCAAAGAATACATTGATTTAGACACAAATAGACATATACCATATCGGGAGCATAAATCCCTAACTGGCACCGCTCGCTATATGTCAATCAACACACATATGGGACGCGAGCAGTCGAGGCGTGATGATCTGGAGGCTCTGGGTCATATGTTCATGTACTTCTTAAGAGGTTCACTGCCCTGGCAAGGCCTTAAGGCTGATACACTCAAAGAGAGATATCAAAAAATCGGTGATACTAAACGTGCAACGCCCATTGAGGTGAGCAATTATATACAAATATATATTTATACCCTGAACCCATTAAAAAAGGGTATTAGGGTATATTGTATTTGTGCAAAATCCAAATGTATGTAACAGGCAGAAGGAAGCATCTCCAACCCCATAAAGTATATATATTCTTGATCAGCATCAATAGCCGAGTTAGGGTATCCCCTAGTCGGGAGCTCCCTACTAGAACCTCTTACTTGTTATCATTTTATTAATAGCGCTTTACAATATTAGTTTCGCAACGAAATATGTTTAAATAATAAAAATATATATCGCAGAAAAGAATACATACAAAAAGATGCCTCTCTGAACCCACAAAGTATATATATTTTTGATCTGCACCAATAGCCAAGTCGATCGCTCTGTCCGTCCGTCTATCCGTTCGTCCGTCTGTATGAAGGCAAGCATCTCAGAACCTATAAGAGAACGTAGATCCTCCTAGTGCCCACGCAGTACGAGTTTGCTTCCGATATTCGATAGCATGCCCCGCTTCCAAGTAATCGATAAAAATCGATATCGAAATCCTCTTGAGCAAATCTCGTAAGTTATAAGAGCTGGAACCACCAAAGTAAAATATAAATATCTTTCATTCTATAGTAATTGCCAACTCCCCGCCTACACACAAATCAAATAAATAGATCAATTTAAACTATTCCCAAATTTAAGCCAAATTTTAATACAGTTGTCTTTTTGAGAATATACGAATGTTCTGTATCAAAGTAAAATCTACTATTGAAAATTTGATCAAGATCGGTTAAGATCAACAACAGCTATGTAATTGCGATTGTGTTGGTTTCTGTGCTGCGTGTATGTGCTGCTATTTAAATGATGAATTTTTTTATTATGATATTTTATAAATATATTATTTTATTACTCCTAAAGCGACCGAGCTAGAAGCGCGAGCTTCATTTGGCCCTTGTAAAAGAGGGTTCAGGGTATCCCCTAGTCGGAAGCCCCGACTAGAGTCTCTTACTTGTTTTACTAAATATCTTATACAATTTTTTGTTTAATTTAATATTATTTGTACTTGCTTATGCATATGTTAGAGAGATTCAAAATATTTTTAGGGATCAGATCATTTATAGTAATACCATCATAAGATTCTTCTGAATTGACTAGTTTCCCTATATTTAACAGAAGATATGCCTTCGTTGCTAGAATGGGTTCAGATAATGCAACCGAAATACATTATTTAACATTTCTTTTCATATTTTATTTTTTCAATTTGCAGGTACTTTGTGATGGCCACCCCGAAGAGTTTGCAACATATTTGCGTTATGTGCGGCGGTTAGATTTTTTCGAAACACCGGACTATGATTTTCTGCGAAGACTGTTTCAAGACTTATTCGAACGTAAGGGCTATACCGATGAGGGTGAATTTGACTGGACAGGGAAGACCATGGTAGGTAACAAGTTAAAACATAAAATCGATACGCTGATCACTATGTTGCTCTTTTACTATAACTATTGTATACATATACATATACATATACATATATATGTACATATATAAATGTATGTATATATGAAATGGATATTCGCATTCCCATTGACAATCACCTGAGCCGAATTCTAAACTCACATTTAATTTATAGGAGACCTAAGCCAAGCAAGACATTCCAGTATCTAACACTTGAGTAATGCGCCTCTTCATGTAACTCTAAAATGATCATTTTAAAATGGGTAACGCATGTTGAAGCCCCCGGTAGAGAGTAAAGAGTTGAAAAATCAGTTATCAAATATTTTGGATAGCATGCAAAAAAGCCAAAGATGCCCATTACGATGCGAGAGTGTTAACAGCAGATGAGAATGATTGAAAATGATGGGCCAGATTGTTCAATTCAATTTCGATTATTGTTGAAGCGCGATGTTATTTCTTTCATTCCGTTTATGAATATATTTTTATAAAGCGCCAATTGCAAAATTAAATTAAAGGGAGACCAAACAAAACTGAAAGCAGTGATAAAAAAAACCCCGCCCCCCCAAAAAAAAACAACAAAATACTTGTTTTCATTTATTGCTTGCAAGTTTTGCTTATTTTAACTTAATCCGATTAAGACCTTTATTTCTGTGTATGTTTGACCTCGTATGTGTGTGTACTTTATAAGACCAAGGACCAGCTGGATCAAATGAAGGTCATTAAAAATGCGCCGCCCTCGTATTTGGCCAAGAATAAATCCGATAAGGTATACTTTATACTTGCACTAGTTCCTACTCTACTATGCGTGCCAGAGAATTGATGTAGTACTGATGCTGCCGTTAGATTGCTTGTTCAGTGTTGGTAAACGCTTGGCGCAAGCTCGCAATACTTAGTTAAGTTAAACACTAGCATTAAGGCCCAAAGAACTAACTGTACTTGAAGTCATTCTAACAGCACTATCTCTTCTTTCTCTCTTTGAAATTCTCTGTCTTTTTATGGTTGTCAACAACTACATCGAAAACTTAAAATAAAAAAAAAATCAAACAAACAAACCAACAAAAACGATTAAACTATCAATCAAAATATTGTTCATGTCTATGCGTGTCTGTGTCTAAAATTCGAACTGATCTACTGATCTACTACTGTGCATTAAATATATAATATCGATCGAACAACTAAATCTAAATCGACTGCATCCATATATATCATTGACCAACCACGCCCACAGTCAACGCCCGTCGGATCTCTGCAAACTGGCCATGAAGTCATCATTTCACCAAATAAAGATCGTCATAATGTTACGGCTAAGGTAAAGTATTCTTATTTTCACTGACAAAATGCATTTTCAACTATTTTCAACTATTTTTGTTTTGGTCTTAAATTCTAATTATATTATTATTCTGATATTTACTAAGCTTACAAATTTTTTAAAACTAACTCTTATAATTATATATTAGAATCCTTTATTCTCTCTTACTTCAAACAATTCTTACAATACATAACTGCTCTAATTTTGGTTTTTGCTTTATGAATTCAAACAAAAAATATTTTGTTCAATATTTGCTCTGAATTGTTCAATGCGACTTGTTTTAGGACGTGTCTTATTTTGATTTTAATGAAATTGATAATGAAAATGAGGAATATATAATACTTCAGGTTAGAGTTAGTTGACTTGCATATATTGTAGCTGTATTATATTAGATTATTATATGAGCTAGCAGGAAAAACGTAATTTCTATATGTAATTAGAAAATGCTTTTTGTTTTAAAATGTAGTAAATCGTATTTATACAGCTCGAGAATTTATGTAATTGTTGGCTATAATTGTTAGCGCACAGTCTGGCGCAGATCAATACTGGATTGTTCCGATCTATTCCATTATCCCATTGTTAATAAATATAGACATGAGGCGTAGGACTGTTAGCGCTAGTAGAGCTTATAAGGCTAGGTCTGACACAATCGCAGACTTTCTGCTTTTTGGGGCTTGTATACATAGAGGTGAATGGTTCTAGCCGCTGCTGCACAAACTCACACACACCGCCTTACAGATTCACACACATTCACACACATTCACACACACACACACACATACCCAGACTCCTCCACAACAGAAAATGTCGGACTTTGGTTTTGGCTTTAAGTATTATATTTAAAATTGGTTTTTGTTGTTGTAACAGCTTTAGTTGCATTGGCCTCACACTTGAATTGAACTGCTTTAGTTACCTTTACTTTTGTTGTTAGTCACAAAAATTAGCGTCTTTCTCTTGAAAACGATAAACTAAAATTTAATAATGAAACAATTTATGCATTGCTCGCTCGCCAAATATACATAATACCATCCCGACACTCCGTTAAACAAAACTCCAACTGATCCGATCCGATCCGCTCTGATCCGATACGATTTGACCTCCGACCCATCCTACCACAGACAAATGCCAAAGGAGGTGTTGCTGCGTGGCCGGACGTGCCCAAGCCGGGTGCAACCCTTGGCAATCTGACACCCGCCGATCGGCATGGTTCAGTGCAGGTAAGTGCAGAGTCTTGAAGAAGCCGAAGCGGAAGCCAGGCGATAAATTTCTACCACATCTTTTAAAACTTTCTTTTTGTATTCTGTGTTCAATTATCAATTTAGTTCTTCTGTAAATAATTTCATTATTCCAACTAGTGAAAAATGATTAAGAGTGCTACCCGCAAAATATCGATTATATCGGGTATCTATTCTAGGCTCTACATGTTCTACAAATGAATGTTCCCTGCTCTTTCGTTCTTCCGCTCGTTGAATGCCTGACATTTGTTCCAATTCTTTATGTGTATATTCATCGTTTCATGTACATAAATCAACATAAGCATACATATTATATACGTATATCCCTAGATTATTTATATACATAATTATATGACAATTATGATGATAACGATGATTACAACAACAAAAAATATCTATTAATTGAATTACTCGCAGACTGTTATATTTTTGGCCTTTTCAATTCTAATGTTTTCACTTGATTTACTCTACATTAGATCAACAAGGTACTGATTTCAATATATCCCTAGTTCGGTTTGTTTGTTCTCTCGTTCCGTTCCGTTCCGTTCCCACTAGTTATTTTTTCTCGGACATTCTTTTTTGAAATTTGAAATATCCTGCGCCGATTATAAAATGGAATGTGCATAGCTTGGTTTCTAGTTTAAAAATACGATGCATGCCAGCAAGATAATAAATAGAAACGTAGCCAAAGATTCAATTTTTCTCAGATATCTCTCAGAAATCATTTTTCTGCACTGCATGGCGTTAATCGCGCGTTTACCAACACGTATGTCTTGCAATGGAAACCAACTGCATGCTCTACTCACACAAACAAATGTCTACAATTATATCCACACGCACACTCACACGCACACACACAATCCCACTCACACTTAGACCGCACAACTTTCGAAAATTCGGCAATACTAGAAGATCATAATCTCTTGCACAGTAAAGACTGATGGTTTAAATTCAATTCTAAGCGGTTTTAGAGATTAAATTCGAATTCACAATCTTACTTATCCAACATTTGAAACTAGTTGGTTTTAAAGCGTCCTCCGCTTCAGTTTCAGTTCACATAGGAAGTTAGTTTAGCTTCCGCCCTGCAAATATGGACACTCTGGTTAAATATCAATACCATTCATATCTGATCTTAGTTCTTTTTTAAGAATGTCTACTCGATATATTCTATTACATGTTCTTGTCAAACTTAAGCGAATGGAGTCGAAGAAAATTCATGTATATTTTGTAAATTAATTTATGCACTATGATGGTTCACATATAAAACCATTTCTGACACTTGTGCTATACAAAGTTTAAACCAAAATTGTTTACTGTGTACATATCCAATTCATTGGCATGCCCATTAAAAATCAGAGACAACTGAGTCAGAGCCAAAGAAGAAAGCAAATCAAAACCCAAACTTATTACAGAGATTGCCCGAAGATTCAAGCTCGGACGATGATAGCCCATTTGATGCTTATTACGAGACAAGCGACTGCGACGATGGGCCCAAGAAATAAGCCACCTACTTCTACTACCACTATCTACTATCTACCATCTACTATCTTCTACCTATTACCTACAACATCCAGCTAAATGCCCAATAAAATTGCCTACCCAAAAAAATGAAAACAATATGCTATAAGGTTTTATTTACTTACATATGAAATAGTGTCAACACTCCGTGCAAGGTATTTTATGGAATTCCCGTGGCCTGTTCTCCAGTTTCAAACGTTTTCTATGTCCTGCATGTTCCTGTGTGTGTGTTTGTTCTGTGTGCGTCCTTCATTTGTGTGATTGTGTGTGTTTGTCTATAGTGTAAATGTGTACATACAGCAAGGATCTACCTATGGTTAGTTATGCCTATTAGCTATATAGCAAACGAGTTGAATATAGAAAGGCAATCTCTGTAGAACTGAGATGTTTCAATAAGCACACACAGTTATCTGATAAATACAGACGGTACCAATAACATTGAAATAAGAGATTCTTTTTTAATTTTTAATTAACTTAATTTTATGATGGAAGTAAAGAAACATTCATTTTTCACCTCAATTCTGTTAAATTTCATTTGTCTAGACACAGATAAAAACGAACTAATTATTAATACTGAATGTAAATCAATCTGATAGTTAATACCGTTTTGGTAAATCAGAAGTGTATACTTATTATAACATCTACGCAAAATTTTTAAGTAATATCGTTAAAGGTTCGTTTGCAACGGAACAGTGGAAGAAGCCCAGAGGGCAATCGAAAAGGTCGTGTGAGGGATAGGGATTAAAGGTCTCCAAATTAATTCACGTTTAGTGTTAGTCACATATAATTTGGTAGTTGCACAACACTAGACAAAACTCATCGTACTCCAGATGGGCAATTGTTTTTGTTAATTTTTTCCTTTAGTAAAAGAAAACACATATATTTTTGAATAGCGCTATAAAATCGAAATGAAAAGAAATAAAAACAGTTGAAAAATGTATAAAATCACCAAGTACTTAATATAAATGCAGACAATATGTATACTCTATGTTTAGTGTTGGTGATGATATTCGATGGAAATTAATGCAAATAACTTTCTGCAATGCTTTGCATATTCTGCTTGTGTCCTTGTTACAGGTTGTGAGTTCGACAAATGGCGAACTGAATGCGGACGATCCCACGGCCGGACACTCCAATACACCCATCACACAGCAGCCCGAAGTAGAGCTTGTCGACGAAACAAAGTATGTTGATGATGATCTCTTGATGGATCGAGACGTTGTTATCGAATTGACGATTTAACAATTTAACGATTTATCGATCAACTGATCAATCAGATGTTTTGGTGTTTTTGCTTTGTCGTTTTAATGCGCATCTCTCTTTTCGGTTCTTTTTTGTAACTGTTTCTAGTGGTTCCTTATATTCCAGATGTTGTTGTTTCTTTAAACGAAAGAAGAAGAAATCAACTCGCCAAAAATGACTAGAAGGTGTACAATGTAGTCCAGAACGCGAGGCAGTCACATTGCTGCGCGCCACTTCACATTCAAACTCACGGGATAGCGTATTGAATAATCCGAGTCAGGATTACATACAACAGGCAACGTCGCAGCACACGTTGCGTTATCCTCCATCCGCGTCGATGTTGACGCCAACACCAACTACAAATACACCGACACTTCCGTTGTAATTTATATAAATACAGAAATCCGAAAATAGAATGAAAACAAAAAAAAAAACAACAAAAACAAAAAATAAAAAAAATATAAACAAAAACTTAAACACCACAAAAACAAACAACAACAAAAAAAACAGTAAAAAAAATGCAACAAAAAAATACAAACGAAAACAAAATAAAAGAAAAAACACAATTTTATTATTATTATTTTTATTATTTACCAATTTTGCGTTTATGTTAATTATATAAATTATTATAATTATTAATTATATTATTAATAAAAACAAAGGAGAAACAAAACAAAACAAAACAAAATGCAAGTAATATACAAAACAAACTTATTCGAAAATAACAAAAACGAAACTGTCATATATTAAATTTCATAAAACAAAGCCAGGCAGCTCAGCGTCGTGCTAAAAAGAAGCTGAGCAATATCCAATTGATCGTAACTTATAAGAACTTAAACCGATACCAACAAACACGTGCACACACACGCCACAGCGAACCACTTAAACATATTTATATATATCTATACAGATATATATATATATATTTATCTAAATACTAGTGCAGCGTCAAATACAACAACAAATCATTACTTACATAAATATTTATAGGCAACAAATTGTACATTAAAATACGCATATAACAAGTATTTCATTTCAACAACTATTGAACCTATTGAATGAAACAAATTATCTACATGTATATTTACGTATATGCCACCAAACAACACCCCCCACCCCCACCCTCTACATCCACGTTCCCCTGGAACCACACTCGTAACTCTCTTAGCGTAGGCAGCTTTTGTTTAGCTCTGATTTTGGATGCACTTTTTTTTTATATATAAATATATATATGTATATGTATATTGTATGTATATACAGTTGAGTATATGGTATTGTACATAATTTTTATAACTAATGCCGAAGGTCGAACATGGTGTGCGATTAATGCGCTTTCGTAGTCGAATTCATTTTGTACAAGATTAGTGCATTTATTTGATTAGTGTGTGTTTTTAGGTCAATTTTATTTACGTACATTTACAAAATTTAGTAAAAATTCGCATGCAGCTGGAATTCCACACACATAAAGCCTTAACCAAATATCTGGCGCACCCTCCTTTTAGGCAACGTGTTTCCCTATGTTTTCCAATAGCTAAATAAAGCAAAAGAAATGAATGAAAATAATAATAAATCAAATGATATATGAAACTAAAAAGAAAGCTAGAAACTACTCAAGATCAATCACTTTATAGTTAATGATAAATGGAAGAAGAGAAAATATGAAAAACCAACAAAAATATCAAGAGAAAATAAAAACAAAGTACTGAGCTATTTATTTTGATATTACGTGATACTAAACTTATATACTTACTACACTAAAAGCTGCCTGCAGCTATGCCCCCGTACCCAAACATGCATAGATACCACAAACACTCTCTCTCACACACACGCACACACATCTTAACTTCTTGAAAATCTTTATACATCTCTTAATACATTTATGTAAATGGAAAAGGAAAAGGAAATTACTTTCAACCCATCCGAACGAATTGGTTTTCCTTCCCCCAAAAGCAGAAAGCGTAAAAACAACAGCAACTCTATGATATATATATATTTAAAACAAATTTTTTATACTTATAAATATACATACTACGACAAGAAAAACAAAAAACAATTAGATGAAAATAGTGTTAACTTTACAAAATGCGAAATGAGAGAATAGAAAGAAACTTTACTTTTACTGTGTTTCTGCTATTTATTTCAAAAATGGGTAAACAAAAATCAAATTTTAAAACATCATAATAAAACGCAAAACTGGCATACATAACATTTACCAAATTTCTTGTATAGTTAAATGAAAATCATTTGTATTATATATGGAAACTTAACCGTAAAACACAAAAAAAAAAAAAATAAAAAAACAAAGCAAACAAACAAAATTATGCTAAAAAATCAATAATAAGAAAGCGATATTTCTATAAACAGTCAAGTATAACAAATTATGAATACAAGATAATGTACTTTAATGTTGATAAAAAAAAACAAAAACAAGAAATACACAAACCAACATATTAAGCGCATGTATTGATTAAATATATATATATATATTTACCAAATTTACAAAAACAGAAAAAAAGGCATTCAGAACAGAACTCGACAAACATATTCAGAGGAACCGAGATCGTTCGGCAGGTGGAGGAGTGGAGGAGCGTAGGAGTGCGGGGAGTTCAACTGGTTGGCAAGCAGTGCACGCAACGCCTTTCGCTAAATGCAGGAATAGTAGTTAACGTTGTTAACGTTAACTCTGGCAAGCAGTTTTAAGCAAATTTAACATTTAAATTTATTGCATACGCGAGCGACAAAAACAAAAATGAAATATTTAAGTCATTTACAGCTGAAATGTTTTAAGCGTCATTTCGGTTGACAAGTGAAAGGAAGTATGTAAAAGATAAATATTGTATAAAATGATTTATTATTAATTATAAGTAACAAAACATAACAAATTTAAGCAAATGAAACAAACCCCCTAAGAAACAAATGGAAAACAGATAAAAAAGAAAACAAGCTACAAATGAAAGCGAAATAAAAGAAAATTATTAAAAAAATAACATCAAGGAAATGTGTCGTATTTTAAACCTGGGAATACAATCAAGTATTAAATACTCTAATTCACCCTGTTGTGTGTTCCACAAGCATATGTAATAATCGTAAATGGAGTTTGAAACGAAGAGTTAATTGGAAGAGTTGGTTGGATAATAGAAAATTTAAAGGATCCACAAGTCATTGTCAGAGATATCACCTCAAGAATTGAAAAATGTAATTTTCGTTAGTTGACTTTGTAAAGGGGGATAAGAAACTCAAGAGCAGGTCTTGTGCAAGCATGCGGGGCCTTTTTGAAGTGTAGATATAAGCCCAGACAAATTTTTATATCAACAATGTACGATATTTTATTATAATGATTTACAAATTGCCATAGAGATATATTTTAAAAAGGGATTTTGTTCTTCCAAAGCCTGTTAATAACTAATTATAAAAAAAGGTAACTGGAAAACGCTAAAATAATCAAACAATATCAATAAAACAACAACTCAACTTAAATAATTGCAAACATCAGGTTAAATGTAACGAGAAGCCATTCATGAAATACGTAAAACACTTTTCTTGAACAGAATTGCATATTGATTTTATTGTTTGGGCATAATAGTTTTAATTATAAGCGCCCATGTCAAATCGTAGAAAAGCAAGTGTGCAAATGTCGTAATTACATCACATTTGTTTATAAACACGCTTGGGGGTTTTGTTTTTACGAATGTAAATTTAACCCCAATCAGGCGCATGACTAACACTTACTATGCACAAATAAATGCATTTAATTTAACAACGAATCAATTTTCAAGCTATCGAATTTCCGCAAGCGTGACCAAATATTTGTGGGTCCCGTTTTAAACGATCATCAATTAGCTTAGCAACTTCTTTTGAAATATGCAAATATGTTGTTAAATTTAACTATGAAATTGTCAGCAGCATCTAAGTTGTAGCATTTAGCTAAGACAAGCACCGCGAGCTTTTGCTTAGTTAGCATCAAGAGCAAGAGCTTTCGCCTTGACTGGCCAATCAGACTGCCTGAGCAGCAACTGCTGAAGCTTTCGCATTATAAAGCAGTTTGATCCTAACTCAAGCTAGCCAAAGGTCAGGCCTCTCTGTCGCACTCTCCAGCGAAGCGAAAAGTGAAGGGATGCAATGAAAAAATTCGCTAGGCAAATGTTAATTCCATTGGCCTTTATGTATTGTACAACTGCTTGAATTTATGTGTGTATGCATGTTGTGTGTGTATGTGTGTGTGTGTGTGTGTGCGTGCGTGAGCCGTTTTATGCTTAGCCCAAAACAAATCGTATTTACTCAACAGGTGAACGTTCGAGTGTGCAGAAGAGAGTAAATTGGAGCTTTAAGAGTATCTCTGTTGTTTACGCTTACTTAATTTGCTGCTCACGTAGAGTCGTCGCCGTCGCCGTCGCCGTCGCCGTCGCGACGGTGCGAGAGTTAGCTCGTGTATGTTGCAGGCGGGCGCTGGCAGAGCAAAGCAAATAACTGCAAGATAGACAATCGAAACTAACTAACTGGCAGCAACAGCTCCAACCAGACTCGGTTTCAGCCAACGCCAGTCAGTCTGTGAGATAGCTCCGAGCATTCAAGTCTTGTGCGGCGCAATAAACCAGAAGGCAAAAAGTTGAAGTATAATAATAAAAAAAAAAACACAGAAAGAGTCAAACACAAAACTTTGATAGCCGAATCCCGCTTTTGTTTGTGAAAGAAAACCTTTGAATGAGAAAACTTCAACGTGCGGCTCGAAAGTGAAAAGATTACCTTAAATTCGTTGACATTCAAGGCAGGCATCAGTTGGTATCTCAATGCAGCAGTTGCTGCTCCGACGACAATAACATTTTGGCAGTTATAGGCCAAAGACAAAGAGCTCTACAGCGAGCGGGGGAAGGAATCAGCGCCGATCTGTTGGGACACACGCAAATAACTCAAAATCAACAATGAATCAAACACAAGTGAATAATTTCTTGAAATGCTTCCTGCAAATTGATGAGCCCGTTAGCCACTTAGCGGTGCAGCACGATGATCACGACCACGATCACGTTCACGATCTCGGGCATGATCACGAGCCAAGGCACGACGGTGATCACGACGACGAACACCACCATGATCATGACGATTCCGGCTCTTTGCTAATGGCCAAGGTAACCGCCATGGTGGTGCTCTGCTGCGCCAGCGCACTCTGTGGCTCGATACCTTTCCTGCTGAACCGCTACTACCGCTGGACCGAGAACCAGACGAACGCCCGCTCCGCCACTGTGGTCAAGTGCCTGCTGTACTTTGGCGGCGGCGTGCTGCTGGCCACCACTTTTCTCCATCTGCTGCCCGAGGTACAGGAGGTGGTGGAGCAGCTGCAACAATGTCAGATCATTGGCGAGCTGAGTTTCCCACTCGCCGAGCTGCTCATGTGTTGCGGCTTCTTTCTGATGTACTTCATTGAGGAGGCCATGCACTCGTACGTGCATAGGCATCACCGGGATGATGCTGGTGCGGCCTTTGAGCGCGGACATAGCATACGGCACAGTCATTTGCTGAAGACGGCACCGCCATTGCCAGCAACAAACGCAAACTGCTCGGAACTTGCGGCAGCTGGCCACAACGCGACGCTCTCTGTGCAGGATCTTATGCATAACGATCTGGAGCAGCAAAAGTATGGTGCAGTGCATCATCATCAACACAACCACAGTCACAGCCATAGTCACAGCCAAACCAACGGCCATGGTCACGGGCATGGACATAGTCATCTGCCCATTGGAGACAGCTCAACTGGTTCGGGCGATATGCTCGCCTCTTCGTTGCGAGGACTCTTCATTGTGTTGGCACTGTCGCTCCACGAGCTCTTTGAAGGCATGGCCATTGGCTTGGAGAGCTCCGCCAGCTCGGTATGGTTCATGTTTGGCGCCGTCTCGGCGCACAAGCTGGTGCTGGCCTTCTGCGTGGGCGTCGAGCTGATTGTGGCCCGCACCCGTCTCAGTCTAGCTGTGCTCTATGTGCTGACATTTGCGGTTGTCAGCCCCCTGGGCATTGGGTTGGGCATACTGATCAGTCATGGCCAGAATGGAAGCGGGCCCAACCTGGTGTCGGCCATACTGCAGGGCTTCGCCTGCGGCACACTCATATATGTGGTGTTCTTCGAGATATTATCAAAGAATCGCTCCGGACTACGAGCTTATCTAGCGCTCTTTGTTGGATTTCTGATTATGTTCGGATTGCAACAGCTCGGTGAGTAAACCATTCGGCGCGTGTGTGTTAGCTTGGGCAAGAGATTGCGACAGCTCTATATTATTCCTCAACCGGAATCGATTCATGCGAATTGGAACAGGTTCTTTACACAGCATTCGTGCTTTAATGGATAGATCGACAACCTTTTCTTTATTATTTTATTTTTCGCGTTTTTTTAACCTTGTAACAGACCTTGTCGTTCTGCGGTCTGAGATGCCGGTGGTTTTGTGTACACCGCAAACAGGTTGAGAAAAACCCCGCAGTGAAATCATCTTTGCCTCTGGGCATCCCCAACGCGCCGAAAAGAACCGTCTATACTCTACAATGACAGTCAGCCAATATCTATACCATATATATCTATGGATAATATAATAATAATATATAGATTTACACATATGATGAAATCGGTTTGCATATCAGATAGTCAACAACAATTGGCCGCAACTTGTTTATTCGATTACCTTTCTATTTATTCTCCTAATTAACAAATGCAATTGTGTGTTTCTATCGACTGCAGGTGCCAGTGGGGGTCATGGGCACAGTCACGGCAACAGCTGTTCATCCTCTGGGGAAGATCGCCACGATCATCATGGGGAGACAGACTCCAGTACAGATCCTCACGCACATCACACCGAAGCTGAGCAGCTGGCGGCTGCCCACAAATACGAGGAAAAGCTGCAAGTTCTACGCCAAGTAACCCAAAAGCTGCTCGAGGCGCATCCCAAACACAACTGAGGGCCGCACCTGATACATGTTTAGGTGGACCTACAAATAGGACTTACGCATTAATACTTTTATAACTGCTAAGCAGCAATTGTAAATAAATATTGTACTATATCTATTTAATTTATCTAGATAGTATTAAATCAAAAACAAAAAACATAAAAAATAATCTTATTCAATACTCTACTGTTGTTATATTTAATTACTTACTCGTATTTCCTTGCCTTACACGGTTCAAGTTCTAAGCTGATTTGATTTTGTGACAAGTATAATAAATATGTTAAAAAAAAAATTTCACAAAGATCTTATAATTTCTTATAATTTAAGAAGGATGTGAAAAATGTCTGAAATTAATTTTTATTTATTTGCAATGAGCTTACACCAGATGCTTCAACTATTCAACGTTTGACCCGCATTTATCATATTTTGGGTACTTTCCAAAAGATCTTTGAAAATAAATTGAAAGCGATCGATTTCTGCCAATTTAGAATACTTGCGGGAGGAAATTTTAAAATCGCTGTAACACGTATTGATTACGTTTTTATTTAGGACATAGAAACTTTTTATAGGCAACTTTCCAGCAGATCGGACAAAACTTCATCTAAAATATCTTTTATCTGCATTTTCCAATGAGACAGTTTAGATGCTGCAAAAAAAGTGAAACACGTCTCAGTGAAACACGTCTCCCGCGCGGAGTTATGTCGTTTTGGAACGTCATATCTCCGCGCGGAGTTTGCCGTTTTGGAACGTCATATCTCCGCGCGGAGTAATGTCGTTTTGGAACGTCATATCTCCGCGCGGAGTTATGTCGTTTTGGAACGTCGTATCTCCGCGCGGAGTTGTCGTTTTGGAACGTCATATCTCCAAGTGGAGTTATGTCGTTTTGGAACGTCATATTTCCGCGCGAGGTTATGTTGTTTTGGAGCTTCATATCTCCAAGTGGAGTTATGTCATTTTGGAGCGTCATATCTCCAAGTGGAGTTATGTCGTTTTGGAACGTCATATCTCCATATCTCCGTGTTTTGGAGCTTCATATCTCCGCGCGGAGTTATGTCGTTTTGGAACGTCATATCTTTAAGTGGAGTTATGTCGTTTTGGAGCGTCATATCTCCAAGTGGAGTTATTTTGGAACGTCATTTTGGAACGTCATATCTCCGCGCGGAGCTATTACCCGAGAGCTATTACCCGGTGTAGGTTCGAATATCAAAACTTTTTTAAATATTATTTGAAAATCTCGGGTAAATGTAATCTGATTTTAAAATATTATACTTTTTTGAATTCGTACGGATCCCTACTATCATATGGCATTCAAAGAAATTAAAAATTGATGGGTTGGAAAAAGTTGTTGACCAAAAAACGTTTCGTTGGTATAATCAACTTTTTTTGTTCCTTTTTTTAGACTATCTCGGCCAAGTAATCTCAAAGTTGAAGCATTCGCCAGCCCATACAAGAGACCTCGCTGAGAGGTGTGTAGTCAGAAAGCTCAAGAAAAAGATCCTGTCCGTTAACCTAAGTTAACGGTTTAGTAATAAAAATGTATGCTATTTTTTGATTCAATACAATAAACATATATAATGGGTCCAGGGTATAAAAATAATCCAGCAAATGTTTGACCCCCATTCCCATGATTGTCCAAGGATTGTCCGAAAAGTGTAAAACATGTCCTAACTGAATTTAAACAAAGATCTTTGAAAAATCCTACATCTTACGACTTGTGTTGTGCGATCATCACTCAGCCTGCCTTTCGGTCAGTCAGTCTTATACATAGAGAAATAATATTTAAAAAACTACAGTTTATAAAAAAGATTGTTTTTTGAGAGTCAAGCAGACATATGTGATATGCTAGTCTATTCTGAATTTAAACGATATACTTAAACAGGTATAATCATGAGAGCAAAAGCTATTGCGATGCGATCTTTTTATACTCTTGGGTATATTATTTTGTGTCATGAAATGTAGAACGCGAAGCAGGAGGCATCTCCAACCATATAAAGCAATATTTATATATATTATAGATAATCGTCAACAACAGCCGAGCTATTATAGCCATGTCCGCCTGTCTTTTTCGACGCAAGCTAGCTCTAAGCTGTCGCTAAAGCTATCGTCTTGAAACTTGACATAGATCCGTCATTCTGATGCAGGTAGTACATATGTCGGAATAGGAACGATCGGTCAAAGAGTGGGTTTTGGTATGGGTTCAGCATTTACGAGAATCACTATTCGCGCATGTCTACAAAGGGAGAATGTCTACAAGCTGTCCAAGAACTCCTAACTTTCCCGCCGGGTTATTTTCTTTATTAATCGACTACAAAATCTTGAAGCTATTATTTATGGTGGTTGTCTGATAAGGTTTAGTTGCTAATTTCAGCAAGAACATGGATATAAGTTTCATTAAGATAGCTCAAAAACTGAAGGAGAACGCTTGAGTCGGACAGATAGACATATGTATTGACTCAGCCTGATCAGTCCTGATCAAGAATATGTAGGACGTTTACGTCAATCGGACATTTCGTGACATTATAATAACCTCCACAAGGGTATAATTAGATGTGTACGGTAAACACTTAACACTTGACATTTTTCCAACAATACAAATTAAATTGATATTGATAATTAATTGTTGTTATGTCTTCTCAGCTATTTTTTGAATCTCAACTTAGCTATTTTAAATAGGTATTGGACCATCTGAAGAAACGCAATGCTTGTCATCTAATAAACTATATTTATAATATTATTATAATACTTATGAACCAGTCTTAAGAAAAGATCATAAGTGGCATGAGCGCAAACTCTAAAACTCTAGAAGATGTAGATTTAGGTAGGTAACATACTTGTGGATCCATCTTTGGAGGAACTCATCAAATGACCACATTCCAAATTTGGTAGATCCAGTTTTAAAGCCGGCTATCATCGTTCACTTTAATGCTTTAACAAATATCGATTATCGATATCAAAGTTCAGTTCGGGTTCTGTTGTTCTTCAGTAGTTAAACAAATTCAAGGCTTGGTTCAAGGCACATAACATTCAAAAACCAGGTTCAAACCACTTCGTTTAAAAGCAGCTTAATATATACCAAAATCCATATGAAGTGTTGTTACCAAGTGAGCTTTGCTTTTTAGCGACGGGTACAAAAGAAAATTGAAGCATTGTATAAAAACTGACAAAAGCTGTTTGCAGTTATCTATTATCACCAACATCATTCAAAATATTTACTTGCTTGGGGGAACGCTGAATAAATAAGAGGATAAATACGAAATTAAGAATTGCTTACAACATTTACAATGCGATAATTTAAGGTATTAGCACTGAGTGTCCAGACGGGAGGGTCTACGAGCTAGAAGAGACCAATTTTTTTAAATTTGCGAAGATGGGATTTTTATTTAGAAGAGAATGTTTGGGAATAATTTCATAATCGTAGATAAGACTCATCTGAAGGCCTTATCTTAACCTTTGAGGCTGTTTTCACTAAGATCTAGCCCTTTAGTCTGAGCTAAATGTCAACATCAGTAAATAGTAGCCCTGCTGGGAGTGCAACATTGTGTAAAGTGTAAAAATGGATCTTTAATGTCTGGTTATAGTAAAGCCATGTGGAGACTCTCAGTGAGTTCATCGTTCTATTAAGTGAATATGTATTCAACAGCCGCCCAGTGTAGTTTTTGCTGGCTGTGTACGTGCTTGGCGCTCCGAGTTCCTCCGTTGCACAGGCCCCGGCCCAGGTGAGGCAATTCTGAAATTGTGAAATTTCAGCACGATATCTCGATTGAAGTGCGCAAATAAAAAGCAGCCCCGGCACACAATAAATGCTCGTTGCTATTCCAAGATCGAGCAATGCGGGCAGTGGGCGGGCTGTGCGGGGAGGAAGCGGGCTCGTTGAGTGCGGCACAAATGTAGTGGGACAAAGGCCTCGAATAGGCCCCCATACACTGTTACTGGCCTAGCCACCAGCCCAGTATTTGTCAGTTGCCTAGTAAACAATAAATAAATTTCAAGCTGATAACCCTGCTGCTTGCGCAAAATTTTGACACGATATCTCCCCATGTACTGAGCGGCTATCATTCTCTGCATGCACGCGCAGGCAGCTCTCTCTCTCTCTCTCTCTCTGTCTCTCCCTCTCCTTTGCTCTCTCTTTTTGTTTTGGTACAGATAAAATGGGGAGGCCCCGCACACCTCCTCCTCCTTGTGCCGTCCATAGCTGCAGCGGAAATTAGCGCGTGAAGTGTCAAGTGTGAATTGCCAAGTGGGTAACAATATTTGACATCAGATGAAAACATCTCAGCAAGTTAATTAGCGCATTCGGTCGAGCTTATTTGCATCTGGGTCTGCTGGGGCTGTTCGTGGAAGCGGCGCCCGCTCCGGTCCCTTGCCTTGCGCCCATGGAAGATGGCTACGCTTCAGCTCGCCTCGATGCACACACATTCTAATAGCTATCAGCTGCTATGTTTGTTATCACTTATTATCACTTATCAGGTCCAAGTTGTCAAGCATACGAAATACTTTCGCATACGCTTACCAAAGTGATCGAAATTTTGTGATGTGCGCATTGATTGCCTGGCGGCCCAACTTATGCATCCATCCAGCTGTCAATATCGGTCAATATTTAATCTTTATAATTTCAGCTGATAGCAGCACTCGAGTTAAGCAATTTTTGAATATCGCCCGGATTTATGTGTGACCTGTTTAACACAGGCCGAGCAACCAATTGTTTTGATTGCGTGTCTCCCTTTGGGAACCTATTATATAATTCGTCGTTTAGCCTACTTTTATTTAGAGCAGAAAACAAAAACAAAAAGCTACCCGACCTTTTTATAATTCCCTATATTGTTTTAGAACTCTTGATTAATGTTTTTCAACGCCACACGCCTTACTATTCTGTTTCCATAATCTAGAATTCGGAGTATTATAAGTATACCGGATTATATGCAAAAGGCTTTGAACCTATTCCACAGGTTCAACAACTCAGATCTTAATGGCCTCAAGATCTACCTCTGTCAGATTGCACATACCTCAGCGCATATCAAGTTTCTTTCAAGTCGTGTGCATCCGAAAATGTTTTCATTTTTATTGTTTCACAAACAAAAGCAAAAATCTTGCATGTGCCTCAACTAAGGAACACTTACCTGTTTTATTCGCAATATACTTTTTATACCCTGAAC